GGAATGCGAGGCTACGCCCGCTCAGCCCCTACAGGGCCCTATCTTCAACAAGGTCGGCCGCCCTAAGTGAAGGCAGGCACGACAGGCCTTTGGGCCTCATTCTTCAGGGTACCCCGCAACAGGGAAATTCAGACAGTTGCGTTGCGCCAGTTGGTTGAATGAATCCAGGTCCTGGGCCGCCTGTGTAAATGAATGTGAAGCAGGCCCTAGGCTGGATACGGGTACCGGGCCAAACACATGCCGAAAGCAGATGGGCGCATGCAACCACTTCAGGCCCAAGGCCTGCTCTCTTCGTGACTGAGCCTATGCCTACCGGGGCCTACCGGAAGCTTCCTGGACTGGACGCAGGCAGGCCACTTCGATATAGGGAAGGGCCTGCCTCCTCATTTGGCATTCGGGTGCTGGCTGCATGCTTCGTGAGCGCTGCTGCGCAATCCGCTGGCTGGCTGGCACTCMCGCTCTCACGGGCGAGTAGGAGGGAGCACGCAGCCATAGCCAAGCTGCGCTGCTGTATGCTAGGTGAAGCGCATGGTGGTCCTTGGGGTGCTAGTGGCATCTGTGCGGTGTGGATCGGGGTTGTGAGTGTTACGAGAGACGTACCTGGTGCTGAAGCGTGCGACATTGGTCGCCGTATGCTCGTACTTCGGGAACGCTGTTGATGTCATCATTTTGCTTCGTAGTATAGGCTAGATAGGATCTGCCACCTGTAGTCTGGGCGCCGAGCGCCAATAGGATATCAACTCTGGTTCGTAGTTGATGATGATGGGACTACTTTTTGAACTCTTGGTGTGTTCTTATTTGGTGTATCTCGTGATGCCGGTCTGCTGTGGTTCGAGGTCAAAACTATCTGGGCTCATATGTATGATGCGGTTTGATTGCTGAAGTTCGTTAATGCTCATCTTCCTTGCACGAAGAATAATTAGGCTGAATTATTTTCGAAGTTCGTAGTTCTCAATTTTTTTCTCGAAAATAAGTTAATTAGAAATGTTGTCGAGAAGGAAATGTTGGAAAAGAATTTAGTTAATTCTAAATTATTTCGAATTACAAAAATTAAAAAAAATGATTGATTACAAAGAAATGCATAATTTTAAAAATTTCAAAAAAGAATTAATTAGAAATGATTTTGAAAAGGAAATGATGAAAAAGAATTAATTAAATTTGTTTTGAATTTCGAAGAAGAAATGCCGAGAAAAAAATGATTAATCCTACGTATTTACAAAAAATTTTGAAAAAGAAAATACGATTTAGAAAGAAAGTTCGAGAAAGATAGTTGATTGAGTATTTTTGAATTTACAACAAGAATTCAAAACGGGTTCTAGAAATAAATAAAATGAATTTTGATGTAAATCGAGGG